AGAATTATTGAAAGTGAAAGCGAAGATTCGTTACAAGACTCGGATGAATAGCGCGATGTTACGGAAGAATTACATATTCCAGATAGAATACCTTTTAGCGTATTGCCACAGGTCATTGGACCACAAGTTCCTACAAACGTTGAACAGCCGATACAATAATTTAAATTATTTTTCACGGACGAATCGGTGAATGAAATTATAAAGGAAACCAACAGTTACGCAGAAAATGTTCTAAACTTGAAAGAAATATCTAGTAACTCTATTTGGCAAAGCGAATACTGTGACACTTGTCCAAGCAAACCCAGAATGCACATGGGAGATTGTTACCAAAGATATCGCACCCTGGTGAATTACAAAATTTAAAATTTATCTTTCATTTACAATAGGAAAATGTATATTTATGAAATAAATCAAATCAAATGCATTCGCAAGGACGTGTAATCTTCACCGCTCAAAATAAGACTTCCTTTATCTCAGGCGCTCCGCTCCAAAAATGTGCCGGAGTTGCTGGTAGGCAGTACTCGAGAAACACGCGGAGCGCTAAGGGCTAATACAGTTTTCATTCTTCACATTTATACATGATATATTCATATCATCATTCAGTTACTCTTTTCATTCATCACGCTCTGATTGAAAATGTATGTCAGAAAACATTGGGTCACGATAACTATACATATATCACTGGTTAAAGATTACCTGCGAGAGAATAGACCACCAGACCTATCAAGGGGCGAACGTACAACAAGTAAGTGTTGACGAGTGTAAACATGGACACATATTTGCTGAAATAAAAGGATATATTGTTGTACTTTTGATAAAGTCGTTTCTCCTCGTCATTCTCGAACAATATCGCGCCATTTATATCTCTTCGGATTTTCTTGATCACCACTAGCAGCTTCTTGTTCGTTCGAATAAGGACAAGCGCGAACGGTATCGTAATGGTGAGAGGCAATACCGACATGTTCTCTATGATCGCATCGAAATCATGCAGAACGTCGAATAAGTCCCAAAGCTGCAATATTGCCAGTTGGATGAAATAGAACACTACGATCTTGAATAGCGCCGTGCTATCGTGTAGCGGCAACACACCCCCGATGGCGAATATTCGCTGACAGTACATGAGCGAGTCTTTGATTTCGACATGATGGTCGCTCTGCAACATTCGAGATCAATTTTCCAGACGTGACAAACACAATCATAATACTTCACATATCGGTGCTGATCGAGTAGCATTTTGAAAATCGAAAGTTAGCTATTTCGAGCTTTTCGTTAAATATTTCAATACCGCTACAGGTTATGGTTAAAATCATAATCGAATCATTTTGATTGAGATTGCTATTTGAAAGACAATTATTAAGATTCCCCTCGATATAACGTAGATATTACAAAATCTTTTAATAAGATAAAAAATCTTTTTCAAGCCTTCGATAGATAAAGTGTTAACATTAACATTGTCACGTATGAAACGCTTGTGCGTTAATTTAATTCGAATTTTCATTGCCACGATTCAATCGACGCAGAGTAGAAAATTCTATGCTTTATATCCATTTTAGACAGGAAATATTCAAAGTTGGATTGCAGATAAAAATATCCAAAAACCGACAAACGGTTCATACGGATTGATCCGTAGCAAATCACGTCAACACTCTTACTGTCATTGTCGGTCTGTTCTTGATCTTGAAATTCAAGGTACAACGATGTGGTAACTGGCTTTATAAGATTGCGCATGCAATCAGCGGGCACAGTTGCACGTGACAATTCAAGCGCAGAGTAATAACAAACTGAATCGTAACCGTCCCTTCGGCGAAGGTAATTATAGTAAAGCTTCGTAGCGCCCCGTTCATTTTTTATTTGTTCAAGACTGTTTCGCCGAACTGTGAAGAGAAAACGCTGTCGAAGATAATTGAACCGACGATATTTGCTCGAAAACTGACCAAAACGCTAACACAGAATTATTCATTATACTGAACTGAGGGTGGCAGAAGAAATAAGCGAGATCGATAAGTCTGCAGTTGCATTCTGTGAACTTCAAATAGTGTGAAGAATTGCTGACTGCTGGAAGTGTTACCAGATTTCTCTCTCTCGAGAGAGAGACTTTTATCAGTGTGATCTTAACTTCTAATTTAATAATACTATTAATCATCATATTTGTACTACCACAAAATCCTTGTTGTTTATAGTTGATGGAAAATCGTTGAAAATGTACGACGTATGAAACCGTTACATCTTTGCGCAGATGCAGGAAATATTTAGTAAGTAATCCTAAAATTATTTGGACACATTTATTTCACTAGCTAAATATTATATAAAGCATTGAACAGTTGTTTGATGTTAGACGACCATTGTACGCAAAACGGACAAAAATGCCATAGCAGTTTTCACGATCTGTTAAAGAAGTTGATGGATACCTTTTGTGTATAATTTCATAATGAAATATAGTATTCTTATTGAATGTTTAAACATCCGTCATTGCAGAACTGACAGAATCTTTTCGGGATATACTCTATTCAAATTGATTAATAGTAACAGATTGCTTTTACTTACATCGCTGAAACCAAAAAGGGTGAATCTGTAGAACTTCCCAGCCATTAAATATTGAGGTTTTTGTCCGTTTATCAAACAGATTACCAAGGATCTTCTATCTTGGCTCGTTATGTCTGTCCAGTCCGTGTTGTAAAAGGCTTCGCCCACTTCCTGTGACTAGATATCATGGGCAGATTCAATATTAGTGCCTATGTTACATAACATTGTTATTTTACATTGAAGAAAACAAAGACGGAGCTGCGACAAGATGTGAAATGTTCAAGTAATGTTCAAGAAATGTTCAAATGTTTCAAAATTGATACATGAAAAGAGAAATAATAGACAGCCGACATTACAAACCTCATGAACAAGTTGCTCACCAATGTAAGAGTACAAGTACAACCAGGCTGCCACGATTATGGTATATAAAATATAATTGATAGCTGCCATCATATCTTTTCGAAGTGTCTGTATAATGTAAAAAATAGTCGGAAAAAGGATATCACGTCTTCGCAAGTGAAAAGATTTCGAGGCGGTGTGTTGTGTGTTAACGCATGTGCTTTAAACAGATTCGATTACATACGATTAGCACCACGTACATAGTAATGGCCAATCTGAAGCTGCAGTTCAGATATTCTACCAGAAGGATATGATGGAAACAGTTATTTAAGAAATTGGTCAGCCTGAAATAAAAACGCATACATTTATAGTTTCCTATGAAGAATTATAATCTAACAAGATTATATATTATATATTCACTCATTATTAAGTAAGTGATATATATTATATAAGTTATATAATTTATATAATATATATAAGAGTTATATATAATTTATATAATATATATAATTTATATAAATTATATAAAATTTATATATAATATATGTAGAATTTATATATGACTATATACATATATACATAAATATTATATATATATATATATAATAGTTATATATAATCATATAACTATATATATATATATAAATATTATATATATAATAGTTATATATAATTATATGACTATATAACTATATATATGTAAATATATAATTATATAACTAATATATATTATATTTATATATAAAATAAGTTATATAATTCACTGATTATTATATATTCACTTTGTCAACTCCAAATGCTCCATCACCATTGTTCTCATCCTCTGCCGGAAATGCACCGGATATTTCGTCAGTGACTTTCGAATTCGGCTAGCCAGCATCGACATTTTTGCGCAAATATGTAGCGTCGAGGTGACGATCAGACTAACTTCCGCTGCGTGATACACTCCCAGGAACGCAACGGGCAATTGATAAAGGTAAATCAGTGTGTATACTTTAGTGTCATAGCGATAGTCGAAAAACATATGAGAACGAAACGGTAACACGTAGGGTCTTGTGTTGTTGTCCTGAGCTACAACAGAGATGGTACTCGGAATAATACAGTTGCTAATACTCATGAATTGGACGCTGCGCCGTTGTCGCCGATATATTTTCTAATGTCTCCATTTTGTGGGACTTGGAGCGCGGGTTCGACGCCTCTCGAATCGTGTTATGTTATGTGAAAAAGATCTGCGAATGTTATATCTTCGCATGGGTGGTGTCGAACGACAAGGTCGTTGCTAAGTCGTGTGAAGAAGTTGTAGCGGCAAGTTACATGCGCAAGAGTAACAGTCACTCCGCACAACAAGTGTCATTCAATGAACAGACCTACCCACAAAGTCATTGGCAGCGATAATGTTGACGAGGACGCATGCCACGGACCGATGGATAAGAGTTAACCGTTTGAGTCCCAGGGGTTATTCAGTAAACACGGTCGAAAAGTGGCGAACAGCGTAACAGCGCTTGTCTTAATTGATTGCGAAGAGAACCAAGCGGCGCGATAGCGCTCGTCAAGATTGACAAACAAAACGAAAAGAAAAAACTAAAGTTTGATCGCGATACAAGATCCAAACAGCGCGATCGCGTTGCTTGGGACTCAAACGGGGTTAACACGTTCCGTGCCACGTGTACCATCGATGGTACACGCTTGCATGTTTACTTAGTGAACTGAACAAATTGTTTACAAGAAATTTATAACCGAAGAATCAATTTCCACCGCAAGAATGGGCGTTGATAAGTTTTTGTTACGTTGTTATGTGTACGAGAATTAATAATTGCACGTAATACATCAAGTTTTAGTAAAATATCAAAGTGTGAAGATTCGAGTAAAAAAAGCTCGGCACGGAACGTGTTAAGGATCGCAAAAATTAAAGTTTCACAGTTGAAAACGAAGCTAAACGGATTGTAAAATACAATGTTTTCTTTTTAATGTAGTTCCTTCTCATTGATATCGCGCAACGATCGAAAAGATATATTGCAAAACAACGGGTCAAAATAAATAGTTACGACTGCAAGAAAGATTACCTGCGCGAGAATGGATCAGAAGATCTATCAAGGGGGTTGCGTACAGGAAGTAAGAGATGAAGAATGCGAACATCGATACATATTTGCCGAAATAGAAGGATATGTTGTTGTACTTTTGATAAGCTCGTTTCTCCTCGTCGTTCTCGAACAATAGCGCGCCCTTAACGTCGCTTTGGATTCTCTCGACCACCACTATCAGCTTCTTGTTCGTTCCGATAAGAACAAGCCCGAACAGTATCGAAAGCGTGAGAGGCAATTCTGTCGCGACCTCTATCAACGCGTTGAAATCGTGCAGAACATCGTACAAGTCCCACAGTTGCAACATTGCCAACTGGAAGAAATAGAACACTACGATCTTGAACAGTTTTCTCTGATCGTTGCCGTGTTTCGGTAATATATCGCCGGTGGCGAATATTCGCTGGCAGTACATGAGAGAGTCTTTGATATCGACAGGATGATCCCTCTGAAACATTTTAGACCAATTTCCCAGACACGACAAACATGATAATACCTAATACTTTACCTACCAGTGATCATCTAATAGCCCTTCGAAAGTCGGAGAGATTAACAATTTTGAACATCTCATTAAATATATCACTGCTGCTGGCAGTTTCATTCGTAAACCAAAATGTTATTTTTAATATCATAGCCGACTTATTCTCCTTCCGATTTTCATTTCAAAGACACTTGTTAAGGTCCTTCTTGATATAGCATAAATATTAAAAAGCTGTTAATAAGCTCCCGGTAGATAAAGTGTTAATGTTAACATTGTCACGCATGAAACGCTTGTGCACTAAAACAATTCGAATGTTCATTACCAAAATGAATTTTCATTCATTGGACATAGAACGAAAATTTCTCCGAATGGTAAGTTCTCATTTTTACACTGGAAACATAGAAAGTCTCGCAGGGTAAAAAGATAAAAATATCGAAAAAAACACTTAAGACAGCCTCCCGACTTGGAACAAACGTTTCATACGGAACGATCCGTAGCAGACCACGTCAACTCTCTTACTGTCATTGTCAATCTGTTTTCGGTCTTGAAATTGAAACGACTCGGTGTGGTATCTGTTTTTATATGATCGCATGCAATCAGCGGGCACAGTTGCACGTAACAATTCAAGCGCAGAGTAATAGCGAACTAAATCGTAACCGTCCCTTCGATGAAAGTAATTGTAGTAAAGCTTCCTAGCGCCCCGTTTATTTTTTATTTGTGCAAGACTTTGTTTCGGCGTCGTGTGTTCCGTGAAAGGAAAACGCTGTCGAAGGTAATTGAACCGGCGAAGTTGACCAAAATGGTGAAGCAGAATTATTTATCATACCGAACTGAGGATGATAGGAGAAATAAGCGTGATCGATAAGTCTGCCGTTACATTCTGTAAACTTCAAATAGTGTAAAGAATTGCTGACTGCTGTGGAAGTGTCTACCGGACTTCTCTCTTGAGCGAGAGAGATTCATCACTGTAATCTTAATTTCTAGTTTTATCATATCATTAATCATCATGTTGCAGTACTACGATCCCTGCTTTTCCTTGATGGAAAATCGTTGAAAATATACGAAGCATGAAGTCGTTATATCTTTGTGCAGGTGCAAGAAAAATGTTGTAAGTAATCCTAAAATTATTTGAACACTTCTATTTCCATTTTCAGTAGCTAAATACTAAGTTCATGTTCGTGAGTCTTCGAACGTGTTTGTTAATACACAAAAATTTGAAGTTAGATGATTACTACTTGTTCGCGTAACACGGACAGAAATGTCATGGTAGTATTCACGATCTGTTAAAGAAATGAATGGATATGTTTTCTGTATAATTTTATCATGGAATACAGCGTACAGTAAATTCTCCTCGATTGTCCCTCAGCTTGTAAAAAAAATGGACAATTTCGGAAGAGGTGATACGATTATTCGAGCCTCGCGACTCTTGTTGTAATTGTTGATAATCTATAAAACGTGGTGCAAGCCTCGAGTAATCGTATTCCCCCTTCCCAAGTTGTCCATTTTTGTTTACAAGCTGAGTTCAATTGGGAAGAATTAACTGTATATCCGTCGCATGATCATACTTCGAAGATGACTATCGTTTTGATGTTCAGTCGGGACGACGAGAATTGTTATGACGTTGCATACATTCATATTCCGTTTATGTGGAAATTGTATCTTGAAAATAGACTTCTGTTGTGTAAATATGTATTTTATTCTAACTCTCACAGAATTACGCAAAACACATGCATAACAAATATTTATCTCATGTATCAATCAACAGAACAATGCAGACGTGCGGAAAGAATGCATACGTGCAGAAACAGTGCAGAAATGGCATAAGTGCACAAAGATCGGTGGCTTAATAATTAGAGAAATTACGTGAATACTTTTATTATCACTTCTACCAGTACGTAAACTTTGCAGAAACATACAATTTATAGGATCTTAGTACAGATTTACGGAATGGAAATTGCAATTGACGATAAGCCAATCACTATTTTATATATATACTTAATTATCATAGTGTAATTGAAGCATTATTGTGTCATCGTTGTTTTACGCTTCTATTCTTGCTCTCAACATAGAGAAGAACGCCATGGAAAATTTGAAGATCTATACAACAAATTGATATGAATAAAAATTAATATTCCTATTCATTATTTTCTTGTGTGGGTGGGTTCGGTAAAGAGAGGATTACCTTGAAACAACCTTGACATAACCTTGACATAACCTTGACATAACCTTGACATAACCTTGACATAACCTTGACATAACCTTGACATAACCTTGAAATAACTTTGAAATAACATATCAAGGTTATAATATTATCAATAACCTTGACATAACCTTGACATAACCTTGAAATAACCTTGAAATAACATATCAAGGTTATAATATTATCAATAACCTTGACATAACCTTGAAATAACCTTGATATATATCAAGGTTATATCAAGGTTATGAAAGTATTCTATTTTCATGGCAGTGCTCCCCTACATATCAGCTTCTGGTTGTTAACGTCGTTAACTATTTCACGAACTGTTAAAATTGATATAATAAAGGAAAGATGATACGTACCTTAGTAAACCCGAACAATGAGAATTCATAAAATTTTCCAGCTGTTAAGCACTCTGTTTTTTGTCCGTTCGTCATACATATCAACAGAACTCTTCTATCTTTATCTGTCACTTCTTGCCATTCGATATTGTACAGCGCATCACCTATATTCTCTGACTAAATGTTATGGTTCTATCAGTATTAAGTTCAATGTAAATTCTATCGCTTTTGAAATCGATCAAGGTGAATTGTATAACCAAAATTTGAATTACTCTTTGTCATACTAAATCGAACACAAACCTCGCAACGAAGTTGTTCACCGATGTAGGAATACAAATACAAATAAGCAGTCACGTCCAGCGTGTACATTACAAAATTGGCAGCGGCTACCGGATCTGTATTAAGCGTCTGTAAAATATATTTAAAAAATAATTAAAACCTGATCCAAGAGGATTCGTACGCATTCCCGATTTTCGAAAATAAGAGAAGGTAGTGGTACAATTATTCTTTCTCGCGAAATTCTGACCATTTAAATATTGAAAATTTCTCGGAAATCGGAAATTTAGTGTTCAAGTAATTTTTGGAACCAATGCGTGTCGACTTCGCGAATCAACCCTTGTTCGACAACTGGGTCATGCTCGAATCTGTCATGTATCTCTTTTTCGTGCCAATCTAATCTATGTTTTCGGAACAAAGTCAATTCACTACATACGGTTAAAACAACATACATAGAAAGGCTCAGGCGAGAGGAGCAACTGACGTATTCTATCAGAAGGAGCAGGTAGAAGTTGTTATTTAGAATTTCTGACATCCTGAAACACCCATAGACGATGTTACTATACCGTTACTTTCACAGCACGACCAATTATTTATTATGCGTGTACGTTTATGAAAAAAAAGAATGAGTAGACGATATTTAAAAGAATTTAAGAATATCCTTACATTACATCTGTCAAAAGATCTTCTACGTTCTCATGTTCCATTTCGAAGATGGAACAACTTTTTGTTCTTAATCGCATTTAAACATTTCAATGTGTACAATATACAAATATGAACGTTTTCTCTTGCAGCATTATCATGACACAAGTGAACGAGTAACCAAGACGAGAAATATTAACGTAACAAAAACTCCTGTACTCACTTTCTCAACTCCAAATGCTGGTTCACCACGCTTTTAATGTTCTTCTGGAAAAGACTCGACGACTTCGTGGTCACGTTTCGGATACGAAAACATAAAATAGAGAACTTCCCGCAAAGATGTAAGACCATGGTGACGATAAAGCTGACCTCTGCTATATGAAACATGGCCACGTACATCAAAGGCACCTGGTATACGTATAGAATAAAATAGATCATGATGTTGTTTTGGTAATCGAAGAAGATATGAGCCCGAAATGGTAGTGTATAGAAAATCGTTGCATTACTTTCTCCTGCAAAAATACGATAATAACAATACAATTAATCGCACGAGTGGGTAACGAATTGCATCAATGGTTACCTGCATAAGACTGCACCGACAGATGTATCAACGGACGAAAGAACATCAGAATGATGAGAGCAAATTGAAACACCGTCGCATATTTCCCAAATTTCCAAGAGATGTTGTTGTATTTGTAATACAGCCGCTTCTCGTCTACGTTCTTCAGATACACGCCATTCTGCATCTCTCTCCTGGCTTCGTCGACGACTGATTTCAAATCATCGCTTAACCAAACGAGAGAAGTCTCGAATATAATAGACATTATTATAATCGACTCCATCAGGTTGAAGATCATCAATTGGAGATCGTCCTGTACATCATACGCAGCCCAAGTAGACAGTGCCATGGACCAGGACAAGTAAAACACTGCCATCTTGAACAACACGGGGATGCGTTGCTGTGGCCATATACCGCCGCACAAAAAAGTGCGCCGACTATACACGAAAGCGTCTTTGATTTCGATCGATTCGCCGCTCTACAAAATTTCTCATCAGCCATTTCCTCCTCCGCGCGCAAAAGTCCGACGAAAGCGGCAAAATTGTCGCGTATGAAACACGTTTGTCCTCGAACACGCCCTGAACTTTAGTGAAATGGTTGTTCCAGAGAGCGTCTATCAAACCCTAGCAGCGAACAGTACCAATCTTGTTGAGCTACGATCACTTTTTGGCTTCGATTTCGATCGAAAGAGTTTCGTCGGTGAAAAGTATGCGAAACACGCGTTTCATACGGAACAAAATACAGTGGCTCGCATTAATATTCGGACACGATATTGTTAGAAGAATTATTGCTCCTTTTTATTGTTTTCGATAGTATTATTGAATCAATTGTTTTCTCATATAATAAAGCACTTCTTAAAGTAAGTAGAAACATACATTTTGTTTAATTATTGCGCATGTTCTTTTGTATAATAAGCGATAAACAAGACTGTGACAAAATTTAACGTCGCAAAGATATTCGGACAGCGAATGAATTACATTAATTTTGTATAAAATGAAAATCTTTTATATTATCATAATATTAATATTTTGTCGGTTGACCCTTTCGTTTTGTTACTTCGTGTAATCGCTTGGGCTTGTTACAGATGATTTTATTTAAATATTCCGGTGTAATCCGTTTCCATTCGTCTAACAAACGTTGTTTTATCTCTGTTGTTGTCCTTGCAGGTGTTGTACGAATTCTGCGGTCCAATTGATCCCATGAATTTTCAATTGGATTTAAATCAGACGATCGAGGAGGAGAATGCAGTACTTTTGGACAATTGTATAATAAATATCCCTGTACAATTCTGGCCTTGTATTTAGGATCATTGTCCTGATAAAACTTAAAACTGTACGTATACCCATATTTATAGCACTCGTAATTAAATTTCTTTTAAAAAATGTCCAAATACTTCATTTTGTCCATAATACCAACGATAAAAACTAGTTCACCCACACCTACAGACGAGATGTAACCCCACACTATTACATTCCTACCACCGTGTTTCACTGTCGGTCTTAAATTTGCAAAAGAATATTTTCGCAAAGACAACTGGTGGTGGAATGATGTAATATTTTCGGATGAAAGCAAATTTAATCTTTACGGATTCGACAGTGAAAAAATGGTGTGGCGTAAAGTAAATACAGAATTAAACATTTCAAATTCGAACAATATCGTGTCCGAATATTAATGCTGAGTCCACTGTATGTCGCGCAGCACTTTGTTCGTCTTACTGCCATCGTGATCCTCTCCCCGGGTCCCATTCGCGATTGTTTTCGTGAAGTTTCTTCGCCGAGCTATGACCAGTCAATAAATTCAGATATTCAAGTGCAATCAATTTTCGTTCGTCTGTCGCGTAACGCCGGGCTCCTCCGCTACCATGGGTTTCTCATTATTAATAGAGTTCGAACGGTGATTATTGTTGAAAAGTGAGTGGCTACGGATCGCTTGTTCGCCATTGAAATTGCGAAGTGAAATTATTTATTGTCGGCGCGGCGGGAGAAAAAGAGAACGATCGATGCACCATGCATTCTTTAAGCGTCAAACAATTATGGAAGCTTCTGTTGACCGAAGAGCAAAAAAATGGGATTTCTTATAGTCCGCAGGCTCGTGGAAGGTGCCTCGCGACGATTAGTAACGTACGATGGCCTCAGAATTCGTGCAGATTGCAGCGGCGAGCATTTCCACCATGGAGGACAGTTTCGAAATGGCAAGACAAAGGGAGAAGCATTCTGTCGAAATAAATGGATCGCGACCTGTGTTTCTGAGGAACTGAACAGGATAAATCTCAGCAGCACACTTGTTGCATCAATTAAAGGTAAGTATTGTGCGAGCTTCGGTATTCTGATTTCAAGCTATAATAATTTCACTGCTCTTAAATTTGACGTTTTATTTTACGCAAGTAATATATAAATTCAACAATTAAAATAAATAATTACAACTAGCAATATTTTCCGAATCGAGAATGATACCGATTTACTCGGAAAATTTTACATAAGGGCTTAACTTACTTACGTAAACTTTGCCGCTAATTCTAAGGTCTTAATTTAATTACGTAAATTTTGCCGCTGATTCTAAGGCCTTAACTTACTTAAAATTAGCTTAGATTAACTACTTTTAACTACGCGTTTTAAAATAACGCATCTCTCGGTGGATGATTATCCCTCGGCGAATATAAGCTCTTTATTGGACATAATCTTCAATCTTCGTGTCGTCGAGAAATTACGTTTCTCGAAAGCGAGAATCTAACATCAGCGTACAATGGGTCTCAATACAACCCCGCCTCCTCGTGGTGAGACCCGGGCAACGCCATTTGGCGGCTGAAGGGGCTCTGGTCTTCATAAGATTTGGAGTTGGAGAAAGTTTTCAGAATTTTAGTTAATATTGAAACGGAATTACATTTACTTAAAGTTGAAGAGAATTTAACAAATTTTAGTTAAATCTGAACGAATTGATTATGTAAAGTTTATTTAAAGCGACAATATGTCTCCCCTCTCGAGAGGAGATACGATTATTCGAGCCTTGCGACTCGTTTCCATAGCGGCCGATTGTCAATGACTATGAAAAACGAGTCGCAAGGCTCGAATAATCGTGCCTCCTCTTCCCAAATTGTCCAGTTTTGTGTGCAATCTGAGCGTCAATTAGGAGAAGAGCTCACTGTACAGTAATGTCTCCCTAATTGACGCCCAGATTGTCCACAAAAATGGACAATTTTGGAAGAGGAGATACGATTTGTAGCGACCAGTCGTGCGCACAATAAGATCTTCAGTCCTCGTGCAAACGGCCAGCGTAATTTATGGCTCTCCTTCGAAGAAGCTATTTTTGAGAAGACAAGTTCCAAACCTTGATAGTACATGTTTGCAATAGAGTCTTTTAAGAAATTCCTCAATAGCTAAAGAGACCGTCATAAATTAGGAGAGTTTCCGAAGGGTACTCGAAGCGGACCCAGCGACCCAAAGGCCATGTGGGTCGCGGTTGACCCGGAGGAAAAGTTCCACACGTTGTCACGTACAACTCATCATCCCCTCCGATTACCATGCCGTCCCGAAAATACGCAAAGAGCGTAAGGGGCGGGCGGTAAAAAGGACAAAATGAGCAACGCTGATTGGAAAGGCCCAACGCGTGGGGTTGACCAATCAGGGTTGTTCAAGAATTTTACCAGGGCAAACGGCGAAACGAAAAATCAAACTCGATCACTGCATCGCGACTCGTCCGCAGACACAGTCCGCGAAATAAAGAACTTTCTACCACCGCACGCGAGAGTACTATTGATTCCGAACAAATCCTACCCGAAAGGTTATTCGAGCCTTGCAGCTCGTTTTTATAATCGTTGACAATTCGTAACTATAAAAACAAACCGCAAGGCACGAATAATCGTGTCTCCCCTTCCCAAATTG